AGTAGTTGCCCTGGCCGAGCCAATCTCCTGACATGAACCCCATCGAAAACCTCTGGGCCATACTCGACCAACAAGTCAAGAAACAACCAAAAAACCAACTTCAAAGAGCGATCTACTCCAAGTTTTGAAGCAAGAGTGGGTGAAAATCCCACAATCTAAAATTGACAAGATGATTCTCACGATGCCCCAAAGGACCAACGAACTCCACGAAGCAAAAGGAAGATCTACTAGATATTAATTAAATTATAAATATATCAATTCATGTGAATATGACTGAAAAATTTAATTTTTTTTTAAAAGGTGGTGTCTATTTACTTGTGACCACGCTGTGTAGAGACAGATAAGTAAAGTGTGTGAATTGTTGAGAATTATAGCGTGTGTTTAAGTTAAAGTGACTGTGGAAATTAAGTGTATTACAAAGTTGTATTGAGAAAGAATAAACTAGTTTTATTTAAGAAAGGACTTGTATCGCTGAAGTTCCTCGGGAAGAATTTATACCAGAAATTAACAAATGACCAGAAACACTCAGTGTGATTTATATGAAGCTATTAACCCTAAGAATACAGTCCACTGGAATGAATCCATACTGAAGTATTAATTATTACTAGAATACCAAATTTACTTTGTGCATCTTCACAAAATTTAGCAAGCTTTTAGTAAACATCATAAGTCTTTTGCATTAAAAAAATAATAATATTTAGTTAACTATTCTTACTAAAGATTTGTCTGGGAATATATGGACTTCAAATGGTGTCACTGGGTTAGTTAGACTCAGTGCAAGGTGATTTTTATGCTAAGATTAAAAATACTTTTTTTCATCTTAAAGTTTTGAAACTTCATTTGCATAACTGCTAAAACTTCCTAAATGAATATCAACATTTTTTAGTAAAACTTTTATATTTCATCTGTTCTTTCTTCTGCCTTGTAACTATCACAAAAAAATATGAAGTAATTCTAGATTACCCTTTTTCTCTTTCTATAATGACCGCAAATTGTAACAGAAAATTACAATTATTTATCCTAAACAGCTTGAGCTTTGTTATGGTTTAAATCTGTTTTTATTTAATTTTATTGTTTTTTTTTCTCTTTTAACTATATCTAACTAATAATCCCATGACAGAAGTTGTATGGCGAAAGCATAGCTCAAGTTACCATATTGAATGATGTAAAATGTGAGTTACTCAGAAGCATACCTGGTGAACGCATAGCTCAAGTTACCATACTGAATGATGTAAAATGTGAGTTACTCAGAAGCATACCTGGTGAACGCATAGCTCAAGTTACCATACTGAATGATGTAAAATGTGAGTTACTCAGAAGCATACCTGGTGAACGCATAGCT